ACAACCAATGGCATCATCAGTTGATAAGGAGGATATCAGCTGCCTACTCAGCATCCTAGTTTGACCCTCCCCTGCCCCTCTCCATCAGTGCTGGGGTCACATTAGCTCAGTGATGGAGAAAAACTGAAGGAGAAGAGAAACACTGGAATACTCTCTAATATCAGATGTCCCCATCAGAGTGCCTTCTTACATCAGGTGTCTCATTCAGAGTGCCCACTTATATCAAGTGTCACAATCGGAGCACCCTCTTACATCCAGTGTCTTCTTCAGAGTAACCCACTTATATCAGATATCTCCATCAGAGTGTCCTCTAACATCAGGTGACCCTCATCAGATCATCCTTTTATATAAGATGTTCCCATCCGATTGTCCTCTTACACTGGGTGTCCTCTTCAGAGTGCCCACTTATATCAGATATCACCATCAGTGTCCCCATCAGTGTGCCCACTTACATTGGGTGTCCTCTTCAGAGTGCCCCATATATATCAAGTCTCACCATAAGTGCACTCTTTCATATCAGATGTCCCCATCAGAAAGCTCCCTTACATCGGTATCCCCTTAAGAGTGTCCACTTTTATCAGGTGTCACCATCAGAGCGCCTCTTACATCCAGAGTCCTCTTCAGAGTTCCCACTTATATCAGATATCACCATCTAAGTGTCCTCTTACATAAGGTGACCCCATCAGAGCACCCTTTTATATAAGAAGTTCCCATCAGATTGCCCTCTCACATCAGGTGTCCCCTTCAGGGTGCCCACTTATATCAGGTATCATCATCAGAGCATATTTTTTATATTGTGTCCCCATTAGAGCGCACTCCTATATCGGGTGTCCTCTTCAGAGTGCCCACTTATATCAGGTGTCCCCATCAGAGTGCCCTCTTAGATCAGGTGTCCCCAACAGTGCGCCCTCTATATCAAGTATTCCCATCAGAGCACCCTCATATATCAGGTGTCCCCATCAGAGCGCCTTTTTACATCAGATGTCTTCATCAGAGTGCCCTTTTACATCAGGTGTCCCCTTAAGAGTGCCCACTTATATCAAGTGTCACAAATCAGAGCACCCTCTTACATCCAGTGTCCTCTTCAGAGTACCCACATATATCAGATATCACCATCAGAGTGTTCTCTAACATCAGGTAACCCCATCAGAGCACCCTTTTATATAAGATGTTCCCATCAGATTGCCATCTTAGACCAGGTGTCCTCTTCAGAGTGCCCGCTTATATGAGATATCACCATCAGAGAGTCCTCTTACATCAGGTGTCCCCATCAGAGCACCCTTTTATATCAGGTTTCCCCATCAGTGTGCCCTCTTACATTGGGTGTCTCTTCAGAGTGCCCATATATATCAAGTCACCATAAGTGCACTCTTTCATATCAGATATCCCCATCAGAAAGCTCCCTTACATCGGGTATCCCCTTAAGAGTGTCCACTTTTATCAGGTGTCACCATCAGAGTGCTTCTTACTTCCGGTGTCCTCTTCAGAGTTCCCACTTACATCAAATATCACCATCCAAGTGTCCTCCTACATCAGGTGACCCCATCAGAGCACCCTTTTATATAAGAAGTTCCCATCAGTTCGCCCTCTCACATCAGGTGTCCCCTTCCGGATGCCCACTTATATCAGGTGTCACCATCAGAACATAATTTTTTATAGTGTCCCCATTAGAACGCACTCCTATATAGGTTGTCCTCTTCAGAGTGCCCACTTATATCAAGTGTCCCCATCAGAGTGCCCTCTTAGATCAGGTGTCCCCAACAGTGTGCCCTCTTATATCAAGTATTCCCATCAGAGCACCCTCATATATCAGGTGTCCCCATCAGAGTGCCTTTTACATCAGATGTCTTCATCAGAGTGCCCTCTTACATCAGGTGTCCCCTTAAGAGTGCCCATTATATCAAGTGTTACAATGAGAGCACCCTCTTACATCCAGTGTCCTCTTCAGAGTACCCACTTATATCAGATATCACCATCCAAGTGTCCTCTTACATCAGGTGACCCCATCAGAGCACCCTTTTATATAAGAAGTTTCCATCAGAACGCCCTCTCTAATCAGGTGTCCACTTCAGGGTGCCCACTTATGTCAGATGTCACCATAGAGCACACTTTTATATCGTGTCCCCATTAGAGCACCCTCTGATATCGGGTGTACCCTTCAGAGTGCCCACTTATATCAGGTGTCCTCACCAGAGTGCCCTCTTAGATCAAGTATTCCCATCAGAACACCCTCTTATATCAGGTGTCCCCATCAGAGTGCCTTTTTACATCAGATGTCTCCATCAGAGTGCTTATATACCTTTTTGCACCAGGTAGAAGGTGGAAGCTGAGAGGCGGAGTAGGCTGCAATTCTAGATGGGGAAATTCATGACACACGACGTCATTGATTGTTAAGATGTCAGCAGTCCTAACAACCAATCACTACAGAAGAGGGGGACCTGTGCTGTGAACTGGCTGGCTGGGGATCTGGAAAGAACTGTCATTTGGTCTAAGTCTGGACCACAGTCCTCCGTTTAGCAATGTCTACTATATAGGTACAGTGGACAGTGGCACACACTTCTGGAGACCGCCACTGTAGGGTGAGTGTATTGATTTTATTACAAAACTAACAATTTCCAACATTTTGCTGAATTTAACTGTAAAAGTGTGTGAAACCTGGGTGAAAGTTGTGTGAATCTGGAGTGAAAAGCCAATTCAAAAGGTATAATGAATATAGATTTGGAAACCAATTTTTGTATTCACAGCCACATCCTAAAAGCGACAAATGAATTAAAATTAAACTTTTTTTTTGTTTTGGATAGAGTGGAGAGGGATTAGAATGCTTGTCAGGTTTTTGTTGCTGTCTTTATTCCCGTTTAGGAGATTCACCCTCTCTATTTGTCCTGTTATTATCATTGAAAGTGAAAGTAAAAGAAAATCCTAAATTTCTGGGGTTGTCCTCAGAAAAGTAATAGAGGGAATCTTCCGATGGGTCCCCAAGGGATTCCCTTAATTTGCAGGGATATCCTCTCACTTCCCGTTTTGGCTATGGGACAGGAAGTGAAGTGAAATCTCTGCAATGAGACACAAATGGCCAACCCTCCCTTACTCTATCCAAAATGTTTTGCCTATAGTATTACTTTAATTCACATAATTTGGGATTCGACTTTAATTAGATCTCTTCACCAAAAGTGCAATTCTTACATCTCCATGTGCAGTGTTAAGCTGGCCATACACCTATAGATTTTTTTTTCTGTTCAACTTGCAACCTGAATGGAAAAAAGTTGAACAGATTTCCTTATGACCGCTACACAGCGTGGATGAATGAATCTCCAGCTGTGACTGTTGCATTCTGCCTACAGCCCCACCAGTTTTTAACATACCTGAACAGTGCCTGCATGTGAGTAGATGTAGCTGCTGCAATTTTCCATTTTTCCTTGATTTCTTTGATTTTTCAGTTGAAGGATGCTAGGTTAGAGGTGGGCTGACAGGGCCACCCACTGAAAACTGCTGTGTGTATGGCCAGCTTTAGGACTTTGGTGGTTTCCCATTTACCAGCCAATCAGTAGGAGTTGTCATTAAGCAGCATGCCCTTTAAAGCTTCTATTTATTTATTTATTACAAGTACTTATATAGTGCCATCAATTTACTCAGCGCTTTACATACTGTATATATTGTACATTCACATCAGTCCCTAACCCTCAGGGGGTGTACAATCTAAGGTCCCTAATTCACATTCATACATACACATACTAGGGCCAATTTAGACAGGACCCAATTAACCTACCAGTATGTCTTTGGAGTGTGGGAGGAAACCAGAGTACCCGAAGGAAACCAGAGTACCTGGAGGAAACCCACACAGGCACAGGGAGAACATACAACTCCAGGCAGGTGGTGCTGTGGTTGGGATTGGAACCAATGACCCTTGTACTGCCAGGTGGAAGTGCTAAGCATTTAGCCACTGTGCTGCCCATTCTAATTTATCGATATCATGATATAGCTAGTAGTAGTTACACTGGTCACATTAAACTGGACTTATTGTTGAAGATGATTCACCTGTCACCCAAGGGTGGTGATATGCCTTCAACATTGACAGATGATTGATGGATGAGTGGCCAAAAATCATTAACATTGCAGAACAAGACCAGAGCAATGTGACTAATAATGGTACCTTTTTCATAGGCTTTTTTTAGTTTGGGCAAGGACACAGGGGCCCCATGATCCCCTATTGCCCGGGGGCCCCCATGAGTTGTCAGCCCACCCCTGCTAGAGACTCTGCTTTTGCCATCACCATCCTTAGAAGTTTCATTGCTCATTGCAGGCTGTAATTTATTTTTTCCCTCTTGTCAGTAACTTGCATTCGGGCTTTTCTGAGCCTACTAGTTTCAACACTAAGACCCCATGCACACTGGGCATTTTCTCAGCTCTTCTTAACGCCTTGAAAGCAGCATCAAAAACACGCCTAAAACCACATTTTTGCATACGTGTCTAGGCACGTTTAAGCATATTTAAGCATGCCAAGAGCTTGGGCATTTATTAATTTCATTGGACAGAATATTAACCACTTGCCCTCCAAAGGATTTACCCCCCTTTCCTGACCAGGCCACTTTTTGCGATACGGCGCTGCATTACTTTAACTGACAATTGCGCCACGGTCATGTAACGCTGCACCTAAATTAAATTTACGTCCTTTTCTCCCCATAAATAGAGCTTTCTTTTGGTGGTATTTGAGCACCTGTGTATTTTTTATTTTTTGCGCTATAAACAAAAAAAGGACGTAAATTCTGAAAAAAAAAGAAAACAATATTTTTGACTTTTTGCTATAAAACATATCCAGTAAAAAAATTTAAAAAATCAAATTTCATCATAAATTTAAGCCAAAATGTATTCTGCAACATGTCTTTGCTAAAAAGAAAATGCTAATACGTGTAAATTAATTGGTTTACATGAAAATTATAGCGTCTACAAATGGCGGTATATATACTGGATTTATTTTTTTTTAATACTAGGAATGGTGGAGATCTGCGACTTACAGGGGGACTGCGGCAGGGGCATTCTAACACTGGGGGGAACTGACTAACTGCCACTGACATCCCCAGTGACACTAATACAGTGATCAGTGCTAATAAAAAGCATTGGCACTGTACTAATGACACTGGGCAAGAAGGGGTTAACATCTGGGGCGATCAAAGGGTTAACTGTGTGCTGTTTTACTAACTGTGCTGTGTGTGTTTTGACTGTGTAAGCATGCTGCTTTGTATTGCTCTGCTATGCAGGACAATACAAAGCAGCATGTTGGTGGTGACAGGGGAGAGATCTATATTGTTTAGATACAGACTTCTCCCTTGTCAGTGTTCCTTGGCGATCGCCGGGTGCCGGCGGGGAATCTCGGTCTGGGATACGGTGATTGACAGCTGGAGCTGCCAATGACAGCATTGGTAGGGTGGCGCATGCACGCCCCCTACCCAGAAATGTAAAATAATGTATATATACATGATTTTGCACAACCTTGCCTCCAAAAACCCCTGTCACTAGAGACCTGTAAATGCCTATGTGTGCATGGACACATAGGGGGAGATTTACTAAAACTGGTGCACTCAGAATCAGATGCTGCTGTGCACAGTAGCCAATCAGCATCTAACTTCAGCTTCTTTAGTTAGGCTTTGACAATAAAACCTGAAAGCTGATTGGTTTCTATTCACAGCTGCACCAGATTTTGCACTCTCCAGTTTTAGTAAATTTCCCCCCTAGGCTAACATTGAGGGGCATTTAAAGGCAAAAAAAACCCCCGCTAGGCTTCTCTCGAAGCAGTGTTTAACCATTTGCCACCAATCACAGCAGGTCACATGACAGTTGTATACAATGGATGGCTTCATTCATGCCATCCATTGTATACTAGTGTGTCTAGCTGTGAATGGTCACAGCTAATCACATACACATGTCATGTGATTAGCTGTGGCCAAATCACAGCTAAGCACAAAAAAAAAAAAAAAAAAAAAAAACCTGAATGAATCGATGTCATTCAGGTAAATGCTTGCTTATAGCAAAGTAATTCTTTGCTATAAGCAAATTGTGTAAAAAAAAAGAAAAAATACTGATCACTTCCCAAAGTAGTACAATGTTACTATGGTAACATTGTACTACTTCGGTCATAGTGAAATATGAAAAAAAAATCTTAAAAAAAAGAAAAAAAAAAATTTAATAAAAAATAATAAAAAAATAAAAAAATATATTTTTTTTTTTTTCATACTGTCACCAGTCAGTGTCCCTGATCACCGCCATGCCAGTTATATGATGACGCTGTACTGCACTGGTGACAATATGTAAAAAAAAAATAGTGAAAACTAATTTTTTTAATTTTTTCATTTTCCGAAAAATTATGACAAAAAAATACAACTTCAAAAAACTCGCCATGCCTCTTCTGAAGTACGTCGGACTGTCTACTTTGCAAAAAGGGGTCATTTGGGGGATATCTGTACTGTTCTGACATTCTTGGACCTCAAGAAATTAGATTGGCTGTCAGTACTTCAGGATTGATCAATATTCAGATCTATATCATAGTTTGTGAACTCTATAACTTTCCTAAAAACTAAAAAATACATCCTAATTTGGGTTATTTTCACCAAAGACATGTAGCAGAATACATCTTGGCCTAAATTTATGAAGAACAATTATTTATTTGCAAACTTTTATTACAGAAACAAAAAAAAACGTGTGTTTTTTGCCAAATTTTTGGTCTTTTTTTGTTAATTTAGCAAAAAATAAAAACTCCAGCGATGATTAAATACCACCAAAAGAAAGCTCTAGTTGTGTGAGGAAAATGATAACATTTTAGTTTGGGTACAATGTTGTATGACCGCGCAATTGTCATTCAAAGTGTGAGAGCGCTGAAACCTGAAAACTGGCCTGGGCAGGAAGGTGTAAAATTGCCCGGTATTGAATTGGTTAAAAACGCCCAGTGTGCATGAGGTCAAAAAAAGTGATAGGAAGACTGTCAGGGCCTCTTTGTAATAGTACAGTAATACCTCGGTTTAAGAATTTAATTAGTTCTGCAGGACTTTTCTTATAGCGAAAATTTCTTAAACCGAAACGCCGTTTCCCATAGGAATGCATTGAAAACCAATTAATCTGTTCTGGAGATCAGAAAAATGTAAACACTAATAAATACCGCATGAGTTATTTTATCAAGTCATGCAGCATTTTAGTAGTGACAACCATGTGTTAATATTTCAGCTGTCAGCGGGGTTCCCTACTGACAGCTGAATGTAAAGAATTCCTGGCAATTTAAAAAACCGCGTGGGATCCCCCTTCCCATCCATACCAAGCCCTTCGTGTCTGGTATGGATTTTGAGGGGAACTCCCACGCCAAAATGTAAAACAAAATGGCGTGGGGGTCCTCCCCATACCAGACCCTTTTCAGAGTATGCAGCCTGGCAGGTCAGGAAAGGGGGGGGGGGCAAACAATGTTTCTTTTTAGTTTCTTAAAAGAAACAGTTCCGTTAACTGTGGGGAAAGTGACAGCTAATTCTGTGAGCTATAGTGAAGAAAAAAAAAAGAGCCAGCAATTGCATTTAAAAAGCAGCACTGACATACACTTTGTATTGCGAAAAAAATGCATACAAAATTTGTAAACCGAGGATTTTCAGTGGATTTTCATTTGTAAACCGAAAATTACTTTAACCGAGGCGTTCTTAAACCGAGGTATTACTGTATTAATAAAAACAAAATATCGTTTTAGAAGTAGGAGATCATTCGAAAATTTACTTTCCAGCATCTAAAATACCCAACAACCCTTTGATGAGCATATGTGCCATATTCTGAATTCTTAGAGCTGCAATGGACCAAATAATACAAGAAAAAACGTCTTTCTTATTTTGTCAGCAAATATCAACGTGTGACAACAAAGCCACCAAACCTGTTCCAGATAAAAGAGAGTGTTTTGATTTATACAATCTATACTTTGTTAATTGCATTTAAATGGAATGATGGTAGAAAAAGTTCAAAGTACCCTGACTTATAATAAATAAATAATTTTTTTAATGTTATTTTTTTAGTCAAGGAAACAAATAAAAATACACGATATATTTTTTCTGTGTGAACATGACTTCGGCTAGGTTCCCACTGCAGGTTGCGGTTGATGCATTTTCCCAGTGCATTTTTTTCACACATGTCTTTTAAACTTTTTTATGCGTTTTGCGTTTTTTTAGATGTATTTAACCTCTTGCCCTCCAGAGGATTTACCCCCCTCCTGAACAGGCATTTTTTCCAATACGGCGCTGCGTTACTTTAACTGACAATAGCGCGGGTCATGCAACGCTGCACTCAAATTAAATTTTCAGCCTTTTTTCCCACAAATAGAGATTTCTTTCGGTGGTAGTTGATCACCTGTGCGTTTTTTATTTTTTGAGCTATAAAAAAGACCGACAATTTTGAGAAAAAAAAAAATAATAAATCAAATTTCCTCATAAATTTAGGTCAAAATGTATTCTGCTACATGTCTTTGCTAAAAAATATCCCAATACGTGTAAATTAATTGGTTTACGTGAAAGTTATAGCATTTACAAATGGCAATATATATGCTGGATTTTTTTAAACATTTTTTTTACTAGTAATGGCGGCAATCAGCAACTTAGCGAGACTGCGGCGGGCATTCTGACACTGGGGGGGAACTGACTTGGTGTCACTGTTATCCCCAGTGACACCAATACAGTGATCAGTGCTAATAAAAAGCTCTGACACTGTACTAATGGCACTGGGCAGTGAGGGGTTAACATGTGGGGCAATAAAAGTGTTAACTGTGTGCTGTGTGTGTGCTTTCCACTGTAAGCACACTGCTTTGTATGGCTCTGCTATGCAGGGCCATACAAAGCAGTGTGCAGGAGATGACAGGTGAGAGATATGTGTTCTTTATGCACAGGTCTCTCCCACGTCACTAATACTCTGTGATCACCGTGTGCTGGTGAGGAATCACTGGCAAGGACCCGGTGATTGACTGCTGCTAATGGCGGAATGGCGGAACTGCAAAATCATATATATATATATATATATATATATATATATATATATATGTATGTGATTATGTGCACCCGTGCCACCTTATAGCAGTATTTCTGCTATAGGGCAGCGCAGAAACGGTTAATGTTGCTAGGGAGAGGTGTCTGTTGTCATGCAGAAAACTCACCAAAAAAGCATGTAATCTGCATTTTTTGATGCAGCTTCATTGAATTCTGGCAAGATGCAATCTGCTGCAGGAAAAAAGTCGCTGACCCTTTCAAAAATCCGCACTGGCTTAAAATGCGCAGATGTGAACGAGATCCACAGAAAATCATTTTAAATGGACTGTACTGCGTTTTTTTTTGCGAAATGAGAAACGCACTGAAAACTGTATATTGAACCTAGGCTAAAGGTGGCTGTACAAATCAATTTTATTATCTAATCAATGTGCAATTTGATCAAAACAATCTAACTGATAAACAATTGAATAGGCATACCTTCCGTTCCAGTTGATTCAGATTTGATTTAGATCGGATTTAATCAAACTGAGTCAATTAGACAGGGTGGAAAATTATCAACTGTTCTGTGTTGATTAGCAGCACTGAGATGCTTTGGTCATTAATTTGATCTTATTTCAGTCAATCACATTATGAGATTACATGGTAAAAACAGAGATGCGACTGATAACTTACAAACCTAGCTTACAACTTTTGACCAAAATCCACTTCCCTGTGTGTGTCATATCGATTGAATGGGTTGTTGACTTTAATCTCAGTTTGATCAGATATTTATACGGGCAGAGTCAAGAGATCCTGTCACAGCCCATGCTATCACAAGGGATAAAAGACATAGCAATAATTTTGATTAAGATAAAATTAAAGATACAGTATAAAAATAAATAAATAATTAGAAAAACATTTAAAGTGCCCCTGTCCCCCTGTGCTCACGCACAATGGCAAACATGCATATCGGTCCCACATTCATATGTGAATGTAATCGCACTACACATATGAGACCGCAAACTTTAGCATCACACCTGTTAACCCTTAAAGACCTTTAAAGCGTCCCTTATGGAGATTTTTAAGTACTGTAATTTGTTGCTATTCCACAGGCGTACTCACTTTTACAGCGTGACATGTTAAGTATCTATTTATTCAGAGTACATCATTTTCTTGTATTTTACCAAAAAAGTGGGTAATTATGTTGTGTTCTTGTGCATTAAAATTCAATAAAATGTATTTTTTACCAAAAAAATTTGCCTTTGAAAAACCACTGCGCACATATCATGTGTGTCACGTATTTTGGTTGGAGGCTGAATTGACGAGAGGGTTTCCCTTGCGGTTCTGGTCCAAGCACCCTTGAATGTGGTGACAGAGGTACAAGGCTCAAAGAAGCACAAGTGTGCTGGTAGTTTGATAGCAGATGAATGCCACAGTCAGG